CTGTTGATTGTTTAGATGTAAGAAAGTGATGGTGAAAATGATAATATTACAGATTAAACTTAAAAGTGTAAGGTGTGTACATTCCCTCCCAGCCCCAGAGCTGGTTGTTAAACATTTACCATCACAGCCCTGATCCTGCTCATTCTTGTAGGATCATAATGTAAGAGTCAGAAGGGTCCTTAAAAATCATCTTGTCTCAATCTTCTCAGTTTACAGATCATTTAATCCAACTTCTATCATCTTTCATAAGAAGAAACTGAGTCCCAGGGAAATTAAGTGCCTTGACCAAGATCATACAATGAGTGAGAAGCAGAGGCTAAATTCTGAACCTAGGTCCTCTGATTCCAAAGTCACAGTACACAAATTCCATGGTGAAAAAGGTTGGTTCAGCAGATTATTTGAGTAAATATGTAAGTACATAAAATGTTGCTTAAGATGGTCCAGCTGCCTTTATTCTGATTCTGTTTACTGTTCTCTCTCTTCCTAGTGCTTATCTGTGCACATGCTGTATTTCTCAGGAGAACGTGGTGACTGTCTCGCTACTTCCAGTATCTCCTTTCTTGAACACATCCTCCACTCTTCCTAAAAAGCTTGTTGTTCTTCATAAGACTCACCATCTCCTAACTCTCCAGGATTCTTACCAAATGTCCCCTCCCCACCTCAAGTCTAGAATGCTCTGTCTCCTCACCTCTTCCTGACTTCCCTGGCTTCCTTCAAGTCTCATCATTGAAAGCCCCAAGTTTTCCAAGTCTTTCCCAGTCTTCCCTCTGAGACTGCCCCCAACCTAGCTTGTTTGTATCTTGTTTGTATTCAATTGTGATTATCTTGACAGGCGGGACTATTTTTTGTCTTTGTATCCACAGGGCTTAGCATAGTTCCTGGCACATAGTAGGTGCTTAATAAATGCTGGCTGACTGATGCAGTTGAGCTTAGAACTCATATCCTCTGATCAGCTGTCATGTTTTTCTTTTATATCAGCTGTGTTTTTATTTTTTACACACTATCAATAAACCATTCTGGAATATTGAGTAGGGTTTCTCCCCTTGACCCCTTTAATTTTTCTGAAAATTATCTAGGGTATAGATAAGGGGTGGAGAACCTGCGGCCTTCGAGGCCGCATGTGGCCCTCTAGGTCCTCAAGTTTGGCCCTTTGACCATATCACTTGAACCTCACTTCAAGTCACAGTTAAGTAACTTGCCCAGGGTCACACAGCTAGTAAGTGTCTGAGATCCGATTTGGACTCAGGAAGTCCATTCCCTTTAGCTTCTTAGGAAGGGCAGGAGGGGATTTGTCTTGTTACCCCTCCCTCTCTGTTGTGGACAGAATGTTCTCTATTCCTCCTCAGGAGGAGGGCAGAGTCCCCACAGCCACCAGACCAGCAGTCTTTCATTGTAACCGAGGTGCCCGACTTGGTATATAGTAGGTGCTTAATAAATATTTACTGATTTACTAGGGCATAGAGTGAAGAAGTGATATAACTACTTAAGATCAAAGAAAAAAAAACTACTGTGACTAGTATTTTCACAGCCTCCTTCCTTATTTTGGAGACCTCTCCAAGGAGGAGAATTATGCCTCTGGACTCCCTACTGACCATCCCATTCAGGGTTACAAGATTTCATTCACTGAGAATGAATGGACATAAGAATCCTGATGGGGATTTCAAGGGAATGATTAAAAACATCTACACTTTATTTGTTTGAATTAAGTTAAGTGCAAATAAGTCAGGTCAGCCGTTGGTATGTATATTCAATATTAATATTTAAATACAACTTTTAATAATAAAAAAAGATTTACTTCATTCATGGAACAAAGGTGATTTCTTTCTCAAGGCAGTGGCACAGAGGTGGAGCAGTAGTGCCTCACCAGATAAGAGGGGAGCTTGGGAAGAATGGTTTGGTAGATGAATGGGGTAGGATCTCTCAAAGTGCCTCATTCCCTCTAGCTTATTAGGTAGGGCAGGAAGGGATTTATCTTCTCACTCCTCCCTCTCTCTGTTGTGGAAAGAGTGTTCTTTTCCATTCCTCCTCAGGAGGAGGGTGGAGGCCCCCACAGTCACCTTTCCACCACTATTCCTCCTCCCACCCCTCCCACCCTAGCCAAACAGGTCCAGTCTGTTCTTGAGAACCTGATATCTTTAAAAATTTTTTTTAATTAATTAATTAATTTTTAGTTTTTAATACTCACTTTTATAAGATTTTGAGTTCCAAATTTTTTTCTCCTCTCCCTTCCCCCCTTCCTCAAGACAGCATGCAATCTGATATAAACTATACATGTACAATCATATTAAACATATTTCCACACTAGATATGTTGTGAAAGAAGAATCAGAACAAAAGGGAAAAACCACAAGAAAGAAAAAACAAAA